GGCCGCTTGTTTATCTTCAAGCCTTTACGACCCCAGACGCTATATCTTTTGATAGCCAGGCACCATCAGCTCTCTTCACCACCTTTGCTTATGCACACCTTTGTCTTCAGTGATCGTATCAGGAAGGTGGGCACCTACTGATCTGATTTTTAGTTCTTTGATGTCTGATAACTGGTCCTTTCTACGCCTCGTGGTCAGACAGGCTGGTGAGCTCAGGCGTTTATGAGGTGAAGTGGGCGTACAGACTGAGAGGAGGTGATGTGGGTACACAGACGGTGATGAGGTTGTTTGGGCACACAGGCTGTGATGAAGTGTCGTAAATACACAGACTGTGATGAGGGCACATGGGCACACAGATTTTGATGAGGGGACATGGACACACAGACTGTGAGGAGGGGACGTGGGCACACAGACTGTGATGGGGAGGTGAAGTGGGCATACAGACTGTCATGAGGGGACGTGGGCATATAGACTGTGATGAGGGCACATGGGCACACAGACTGATGAGGAGGTGAAGTGGGCATACAGACGGTGATGAGGGGACCTGGGCATATAGACTGTGATGGGGAGGGGATGTGGGTACACAGACTGTGATGAGGTTTTGTGGGCCACAGAGTGTGATGAAGGGAGGTGGGTACACAGATTGTGATAAGGTATAGTGACCAGACATGCTGCTTTTGGCAGGACAGTCCCGATTTTTGACTATGATGAAGAGGAGACATTACACAGACTGGTGAGGGGTGACCTGTGGTCTGCAGTAACCGCGGTCGGGTCAGGATGGGTCATCCCCACTGTGGTGCTTCCTCTGGCCTTGGTGGGTCAGTGCTAGGACCGTCCGCTTCCTGAAGCACCCCTGGGAACCATTCCCCTACAGGGCACCTCACAAACAGTCCCCGCCCACCCATCAATCAGGGGGCCCTGCTCACTGCAGCAGCACCAAGCAAGTCTCAGTGGGGCGTCCAGACTGAGATGGACTGGGAAGCAAAGCTGGCCACTGTGTGCACACATCTGCCCCTTACCGCCTCGTGGGCCTCAGCCAGCTGATCATCTGGCCTGGGACAGTGCAGGCTGGGGGCGTGTCGGTGGGGTGATGTCACCGTGAGCTGGGCCAGCCTCGCCTGTGACAGCAATTGCCATAGTGGGTACCTGGGCTCCCTGTGGCACCAGGAGGTGTCCATGCCTGTCAGCTGCCACGAGACCCCCAGTAGCCGGCGGACACAGTGGGGGGAGCTCCAGGGGAGCTGAGCCGTTTGCTCCGGTGAAGACCGACAGTCAAGGGAACCCGCAGGGCGGTTCTGCCCTGACACTCAGGGTCACTCAGTCAGAATGGACTCGCTGGCCGTGGGGGTTTTGTTTCCTGTGTCCATTTCAGGAGGGTGTCTGGTGGTGCTGTGAGGTCAGCGCAGGGCTGCCCACAACAGAGGCAGCAGTTCAAACCCACCAGCCACTTCTCTGGAGGAAGATGAGGCTCTCTGCTTCTGTGAACAGTGACAGGTTTAGAAGCCCTGTATAGGATCAGTCTGCATGGGACTGGCCCCCGTGGGCAGGGTTAGAACCTTGCATGGGGTCAGTCTGGGTCACTCTGGCTCCGTGGGCAGGGTTAGAGGCCTGCATGGGGTCAGTCTGGGTCACACTGTCCCTGTGGGCAGGGTTAGAACCTTGCATGGGGTCAGTCTGGGTCACACTGGCCCTGTGTGCAGGGTTAGAACGCTGCATGGGGTCAGTCTGGGTCACATTGGCCCTGTGGACAGGGTTAGAACGCTGCATGGGGTCAGTCTGGGTCACACTGGCCCTGTGGGCAGGGTTAGAGGCCTGCATGTGGTCAGTCTGGGTCACTCTGGCTCTGTGGGCAGGGTTAGAGGCCTGCATGGGGTCAGTATGGGTCACACTGGCCCCCGTGGGCAGGGTTAGAACCCTGCATGGGGTCAGTCTGGGTCACATTGGCCCCGTGGACAGGGTTATAGCCCTGCATGGGGTCAGTCTGGGTCACACTGGCCCCGTGGACAGGGTTAGAACCCTGCATGGGGTCAGTCTGGGTCACACTGGCCCTGTGGGCAGGGTTAGAACCCTGCGTGGGCTTAGTCTGGGTCACACTGGCCCTGTGGGCAGGGTTAGAGGCCTGCCTGGGGTCAGTCTGGGTCACACAGACCCTGTGGACAGGGTTAGAACCCTGCATGGGGTCAGTATTGGTCACACTGGCCCTGTGGGCAGGGTTAGAGGCCTGCATGGGGTCAGTCTGGGTCACACTGGCCCTGTGGGCAGGGTTAGAGGCCTGCATGGGGTCAGTCTGGGTCACACTGGCCTTGTGGGCAGGGTTAGAGGCCTGCATGGGGTCAGTTTGGGTCACTCTGACTCCGTGGACAGGGTTAGAGGCCTGCATGTGATCGCTCTAGATCAGACGGACCCATGAGCAGGTTGGTCGTTGGTTCACAGATACCACAGTGACTTCGACCTCGCTGGGGTCTTTCGGGAGCCAAACGTCAGTCACCAAGCTAGTTCCAACTACAAAAGCCTTTGTATCCGTGGCACCGGTGCTGGCTCACAGCAGCCTGTACCCTCTAGGACAGGCAGATTTGTGAGAAGTAAACTGAGGCACGAGGACAAACAGAGAAAAAGGGAAGAGGCTCTCACAACTCTTTATTAGCAAAGAAGCTCCTGGACAAGGCTCCGTGGTCTAGCAAGTAGCCCAGGGAAGTCGCGGCCAGTGAGGAGAGTGGTGGGTTTTTAAAGGAGGGGCCGAGGAGGGTTCCTTTGGGAAGGGGTCGGGGCTGCAGCTGCCGGGGATTTTCCACTGCTGTCATGTTTTTTCCTTAATCCAGTTGTCCAGCCGTTGCAGGTGGGGAGGAAAGATAGTTATTCTTGGAGCTGCGTTTCCTGGTATGTGCAGGGAGAAGGGTTGTGGCCCTGGCAGCAACTGCCCGTGTGGGGTGTCCCAGGCTCAGCCTCAACAGCCCACTGCACCAGTGGAGACGGGGGCTAGCTTCTTGGGCTAAGCCCTGTACATGTGACTTCTGCCCTGTCACAGCTTCTCCAGTGAAAACCAACCTGATCCAGGCCCTGACGGGAGACGCAGCCGCACAGCCTCGGGACCAGCTGTTTGCCACCCTGGACATGACGGCCTACGCAGGCTCCCTGCCCTCGCGCCTGACCGTGCTGTACGTGGACACCATCGGCTTCCCCTCCCGACTGGCCCACGAGCTCGTCGCCTCCTCACCGCCACCTGGTGGATGTGGCTTGTGATCTGAGAGCAGCCCCTTGGAGGCCAGCCATGCCGTGAGTAAGGGGGCTCAGCCAGGATACCCTGAGGAATTCCCAGGGACAATTTGGGGCAGAGACCATGCACAGGGTGCCCACCTAGGACAGAGAAGATGGGCACCAGGGGGCCAACGAGGGAGAGAGAGCCTGGGCACCAAGGGCCCACTTGAGATCCTGAGACACCAGGCACCCTGTTACCACCTGGGACAGAGGCTAGGTACTAGGGGGTTTACCAAGGACAAAGAGGTCGGGCACTAGGGGATTCACATAGTTCAGAGAGGCCGAGAACTAGGGGTCCCACCTGGGATCCAGAGAAGCCAGGTACCCAGTGTCCACCTGGGATAGAGGCTGGGCACCAGGGATTCCACCTGGGGCAGAGAGGTTGGGCACAACAGGGCCCACCTGGGTCAAAAAACTGCAATCCCTAGGGGCCGATCTGGGGCAGAGAGATTGGCCAAAACGGGGCCCACATGGGATCCAGAGAAATCAGGCACTGAGTGTCCACCTGGAAATGAGAAGTTGGGCACTACAGGGTTCACCTGGGGCAGAGAGGCCGTGCACCAGGGGGCCTACCTGGGATGGAGAACCTGGTCACCAGGGGGCCCACCTGGGGCAGAAAAGCCAGGCACCCAGTGTCCACCTGGGACAGAGACGCTGGTCACCAGGGAACCCACCTGGGACAGTGAGGTTGGGTACTAGGGGGTTCACAAATGACGGAGTGACCGGGCATCCAGCGTCCACCAGAGACAGAGAAGCTGGATTCCAGGGAACCCACCTGGGCCAGAGAGGTCAGGCACCAGGGGCACACCTAGGACAGAGGCCGGGCACCTGGGGGCTGACCTGGGACAGAGAAGCTGGGCACCAGGGAGCTCACCTGGGGAAGAGAGGTCAGGTACCAAGTGGCCCATCTGGGACAGAGAACCTGGACAACAGGGAGCTCACCTGGGAGAGAGAGGCCAGGCACCAGTGAAGTTTTTTCATAAATGTAGGGAACCCACCTGGGACAAAGAAGTTGAGCAATAGGTTCACCAATGATGGAGTGACCGGGCAACCAGTGTCCACCAGGAACAGAAAAGCTAGGCTCCAGGGAACCCACCTGGGCCAGAGAGATTGGGCACCAGGGGCCCACCTGGGACAGAGAAGCCGGGCACCAGGGAGCTCACCTGGGGCAGAGAAGCCAGGTACCAACAGACCCAACTGGGAAAGAGAACCTGCACGACAGCCCACCTGGGACAGAAAGGCCAGGCACCAGCCGGCCCACGTAGGGTAGAGAGGCCGGGCACTAGGGCTCACACCTGGGATCCAGAGAAGACAGGTAATCAGTGTCCACCTGGAACAGCCAGGGGGGGGCACTATGTGGCCCACCTGGGATGGAGAGGTTGGACACTAGGGGGATCACCTAGGACAGAGAGGCCAGGCACTAGGGGGCCCACCTGGGATTCAGAGAAGTCAGGCACAGAGCGTCTACCTGGATCAGAGATGCAGGGTACCAGGGAACCCAGCTGGCACAGAGAGACTGAGCACGACGGGCCCTCTAGGACAGAGAGGCCGGGCATCAGGTGGCCTACCTGAGGCAGAGAGGCCAGGCATCAGGAAACCCAGCTGAGAAAGAGACGCTGAGCAAAAGAGGGCCCACCTGGAGCAGAGAAGCAGGGCACCAGGGCGGCACTTCGGATCCTGAGATGCCAGATACCCCGTGTCCACCTGGGACAGAGAGGTTGGGCACTAGGGGGTTGACCTAGGACAGAGAGGTCAGGCACAAGGGAACCCACCTTGAACATACCACTGGGAAACCAGGGGTCCCACATGGGATTCAGAGAAGTTAGGCACTCAGTGTCCACCTGAGATACAGGCTGGGAACCAGGGAACCCATCTGGGGCAGAGAGGTTGGGCACAACGGGGCCCACCTGGGTCACACCATCGCGATACTTGGGGGGCCAACCTAGAGCAGAGAGGCTGAGCACCAGGGGGCCACTTGGGTACAGAGAAACCAGGCACCCGGTGTCCACCTGGGAATGAGAAGTTGGGCACCAAGGGGCGCAACTTGGACGTAGAACCTGGGAACCAGGGGGCCCACCTGGGGCAGAAAAACCAGGCACCCAGTGTTCACTTGGGACAGACCCTGGGCACCATGGAACCCACCTGGGACAGTGATGTTGTGTACTAGGGGGTCACTTAGGACAGAGAGGCTGGCACCAGGGAATCCGCCTGGGACAGTGATGTTGGGTACCAGGGGCTTAACCAGGGACAGAGTGGCTGGGCACCCAGTGTTCACCTGGGACAGAGAACCTGGTCTCCAGGGAACCCACCAGGGGCAGAGAGGTCAGGCATCAGGGGGCCCACCTAGGAGAGAGATGCCTAACACCAGGGGGCCCACCTGGGACAGAGAAGCCGGGCACCAGGGAGCTCACCTGGGGCAGAGAGGCCGGGTACCAACAGGCCCAACTGGGAAAGAGAACATGGACAATAGCGAGGCACCCAGAACAGAGAGGCCAGGCACCAATTGGCCCACCTAGGGCACAGAGGCCAGCACTAGGGCGCACACTTGGGATCCAGAGAAGCCAGGCACTCAGTGTCCACCTGGGACAGACAGGGTGGCCACTATGTGGCCCACCTGGGATGGAAAGGTTGGACTCTAGAGGGATCACCTAGGAGAGAGAGGCCAGGCATTAGGGGTCCCCCTGGGATTCCGAGAAATCACGCACAGAGTGTCTACTTGGGACAGAGAGACTGGCTACCAGGGAACCCACCTGGGACAGAGTGGTCAGGCACTAAGGGGTCAACCAAGGACAGAGATCCCGGGCAACCGTGGCCCAGCTGGGACACAGAGGCCGGGCACCAGGGCACCCACCTGGTACAGAGAGGCTGGGCGCAAGTAGGTCCACCTGGGGCAGAGAGGCCGGGTACCAGGCAGCCCACCTAGGACAACCAACCGGGACACCTAGGGGCTGACCTGGGGCAGAGAGGCCAGGCACCAGGGGGCCCACCTGGCATTCAGAGAAATCAGGCACAGAGCGTCTACCTAGGACAGATGCTGGGCCCCAGGGAACCCACCTGGCACAGAGAGGCTGAGCACCATGGGGCTCTCCAAGGACAGGGAGGCTGGGCATCAGGAACACAGCTGAGGCAGGGACGCTGGACAAAAGGGCGGCCACCTGGGGCAGGGAAGCCAGGCACCAGGGCACTACTTGGGATACTGAGATGCCCGACACCCTGGGACAGAGAGGCTGAGCAGTAGGTTTCACCTAGGACAGAGAGCCTGAGCAACAGGGAAGCCACCTTGGACTTCCAACAGGGACAACTGGGGGCCCACATGGGATACAGAGAAGCCAGACACCCAGTGTCCACCTTGGATAGAAGCTGGGCACCAGGGAACCCCGTGTGACACAGAGATTGGGCACAATGGGGCCACCCTGGGTCATACCACCGCGATCCCTGGGGATTGACCTGTAGCAGAGAACCCGGGCACCAGGGGACCCACTGGGGATCCAAAGAAACGAGGAACCCAGTGTCCACCTGGGAATGAGAGGATGGGCACTACTGGGGTCACCTGTGGCAGAGAGGGCATGCACAGGGGGCCCACCTGGTATAGAGAACCTGGACACCAGGGGCCCCACCTGGGGCAGAAAAGGGGATACAGAACATGGGCATGGGGGGGGGGGGGGGGGGGCTCACCTGGGGCAGAAAATCCAGGCACCCAGTGTCCACCTGGGACAGAGACGTTGGGCATCAGGGAACCCACCTGGGACTGTGATGCTGTGTACTAGGGGGTTCACTTAGGATAGAGAGGCTGGCACCAGGGAACCCACCTGGGACAGTGATGCTGGGTACTAGGGGGTTCACCTAGGACTGAGAGGTTGGCACCAGGGAACCCACTGGGGACAAAGAGGTTGGGCACCAAGGGGTTCACCAATGACAGAGTTAACGGGCACCCAGTGTCCACCAGGGACAGAGAAGCTGGTCTCCAGGGAACCCACCTGGGGCAGAGAGGTCAGGCACCAGGTGACCCACCTAGAACAGAGAGGCCGAGCACCAGGGGGCCCACCTGGGACAGAGAAGCCGGGCACCAGGGAGCTCACCTGGGGCAGAGAGGCCAGGTACCAACAGGCCCAACTGGGAAAGAGAACCTGGACTACAGGGCGCCCACCGGGGACAGAAAGGCCTGGTACCAACTGGCCCACCTAGGGCACAGACGCCACCACTTGGAAGCACACTTGGGATCCAGAGAAGCCAGGCACTCAGTGTCCACCTGAACAGACAGGGTGGCCACTATGTGGCCCACCTGGGATGGATAGGTTGGACTCTAGGGGGATCACCAGGGACTGAGAGGCCAGGCAATAGGGGGCCCCCCTGTGATTCAGAGAAGTCAGGCACAGAGCCTCTACCTGGGACAGAGTGATCAGGCAAGAAGGGGTTCACCTGGGACAGAGAGGCCGCACAACCTGTGCTCATCTGGGACCGAGAGGCCGGGCACCAGTGTACCCACCTAGTGCAGAGAGGCTGGGCATAAGTAGGCCCACCAGGGGCAGAGAGGCAGGGCACGAGGCAGCCCACATGGGACATCCAGCCAGAACATCTAGGGACCAACCTGGGGCAGAGAGGCCAGGCACCATGGTGCCCCCTTCTGGTCCAGAGAATCCAGGCAGCCAGTGTCCACCTGTGATAGAGACTGGGCACCAGGGAATCCACCTGGGGCAGAGAACTTGGACACAACAAGGCCCACCTGGTTCATATCACCGTGATACCTAGGGGCTGACCTCAGGCAGAGAGGCTGGGCAACAGGGGGTCCACTTGAGATCCAGAGAAACCAGGCACCCAGTGTCCACTTGGGAAAGAGAGTTTTGGCACTATGGGGTTCACTTGTGGCAGAGAGGCCTTGCACCAGGGGGGACCCACCTGGGACAGAGAACATGGGCACTAGGGGACTCACCTGGGGCAGAAAAGCCAGGCACCCAGTGTCCACCTGGGACAGTGATGCAGGGTACTAGGGGGCTCACTTAGGACAGAGAGGCTGACAC